ACTTTGACCTTGACCAAGTGGACTTTAACTTGCCATAAAAACACTTAAAAATGCATAACTTGCACCAAATTGAAGTGCATAGTTCTAACTTCTTGCACATCTCCCTTTATTTCTCTTGTCGAGTTCAAGAACGCTTGGACATGAAGTAGCAAAGCTGGTTGAAGTTTCCTAGCTCTCGATCTTGTAATCGGTCCATGAGGCATAACAACGGTAGCTCCTTGGTTCATATCAGTTTCCATCTCCGACCCCTCCCCTCTACTCCAACCAGCCGACCGGCACTGCGGCAGCCACAACAAGGTCTCCCTTATGCTCTGAGTAACTATAGAAGTAAATGAACCTAGTTTAATTGGTTAACCCGTCGATCGGAACCGATAAACCGACAGTTTATCCCTTTGTGCAGTTCGAATTTAGATTTTTACCGGTTCGGATTTCGGTTCTTATTATTTTGCAATGTTTATTTTGTTTGACTTCGATTTTGCTTCAAAACTGAGTCGAACCAACCTGCTTACCCCCTCGGTAAGTCGAAACTAACTCCGACAAATCAATTTCAATTTATATTGTTGATTTTGAGCCAATGCCAAAAATCGAACCGTCTCGAAACCAAGTCAGTTTCAATTGGTTTGTTCAATTTAATTGAATTGGTCGGTTTTTTCATGAACTCTTAAACCAAACCGAAGTGGTTTGATCATTAATCATGTTAACGAGGGTGAGAAGAAAACGACAAAACAGAAAAAAGAGCCCGCGAAATGACAATTTTTTGCGTCACTTTGTTCCATCAAGAAATTTCCAAATTTTCGTTTTTCCCGCGAATCTAAAAGAGAGTGCCAGGGTGGCAATCCGCGTGATCCCTCCCTCAGCCAATCACATCTCTCTCTCCATTCCTATATAACCAAAACCCTCGCCCTTTACTTCACAATACGATCATCAAAATCCCCCAAATTAGGGTTCTTGATTTCCAAAATTTTCCACTCCAAATTCCTCAGTTTCCTCTTCCAGCTCCGATTCGACGATGAGTTCCGCCGGCGGTTCCACCAAGGGAGGTCGCGGCAAGCCCAAGGCCACCAAGTCCGTTTCCCGATCGCACAAAGCCGGCCTCCAGTTCCCCGTCGGCAGGATCGCCAGGTTCCTCAAGGCCGGAAAGTACGCCGAGCGTGTCGGCGCCGGAGCTCCCGTCTATTTGTCCGCCGTTCTGGAGTATCTCGCTGCCGAGGTAAGCCGCTGCTGCATGGCTGATTTTACTGGAATTTGCTCTGTTCTCGAGCATTTATAGATGTTTATTTTTCTGTATTTTGTTCTGGTTGAAATTAGGTTCTGGAGCTCGCGGGGAATGCGGCGAGAGACAACAAGAAGAATCGTATTGTACCGAGGCATATTCAGCTCGCTGTGAGGAACGATGAGGAGTTGAGTAAGCTTCTGGGCTCTGTAACCATCGCCAATGGAGGAGTTTTGCCCAACATTCATCAAACTCTCTTGCCTAAAAAGGTGGGGAAAGATAAGGGCGATATTGGATCGGCATCGCAGGAATTCTAGAGTTTGATTTAGGGTTTTTTTTTGTTTTGATTTTGGTAGTATCTTTTTACTAGAGATGGCAATTCTCTGATATGAAATGGATAGGATTTGCATCTGTTGAATGTACTGCATTTCTTCAGATTTATGTCATCTTAATTTTGTTTAGATGCATATAGTTTATCAGTTGTGAGATTGTTAGTGGTTGTTGTTTCAAGAATGATGAATCTAACTCCCTTTTACAGTTACAAGTCGATTTAATGGCTGTTTTTTTTTCTTGTTCAAAGTTTTCAAATTTTGAATCCTGCCTCTTGAATTTCTCTATCATTTTCTCATGAAGATGATGGCTGATACTATTAATTTTGATCTAGAATCTAACAATTTTGACCAACATAATATTGTTTGTTGTAGTTTGATATTACGCCAACACAGATTTCTGTCATATTATGGAAGCTGGGATTTTTCAATGATTTTTGTATTTAAATGTAGTAACTAAGTTGAGATACACTAAATTTCTTTACCTCTAATAGGAGAGTGACAGTGTTCAGCAAATGGCAAAAATTTGGTATTGAAAGTGATGGTGTATTTTCTTGAAATATTTAATTTCGTCAATGTTGCTAAGTTTTGTTCAAATATATAAACTACATCATTCTTATAATAGAAAAGAAAATAAACTCTTACAATTAAGTTAATATCTTTTTGCTTTTTTTTTTAAAAATCTTTTTGTTTTTTTAATAACTTTGATATAAATATAACTTTTTACATGTAAATAATTACCATGTATTTATGTACATGGTAACATAACTGTACATGGTAAATATTTACATGTAAAAAGTTATATATATATCTAAATTGTATTTTAAATTAGGTATTCTAAATTTCATGTTATATTTACTTCTTAATGTGTTATGCATTTTATAAGTTAAGAATTATAAAATTGTTTTTCTATTTATGTAATGAAAAAATTTGGAAATGTGAAATTAGAAACAAAAAAAAATTGATTTTTGTTGTTTTCCTAATTTTTACTCAATGTTGCAAATGTCAAAAACAAAAGAGAAATGAAGAATAGAAATGGTTATTAAATGCTTGGTTCTCAAAAATTGAAAATGAGGAACAAAGATGAAGAAATAGAAATATTAGGGCTTGTTTGTTAGCATTTGTGTTTTTTTTTTTCTCTTTTTTAATAAAGAAAAGCATAATTGTATTGTATTTAATTATTTCTTATTCTTTATATTTTTTTTCATTAAAAAAAGAAACATAATTTTGCTAAAATGTTTTAGAACTTTTTTTTTTCAAAATTTCCAAATAATTTTGAAAGGTTTTAAAAATAATGAAAAATAAGAAATATAAATAGTTAAATTTTTACTCTTTTCAATAACATCGGAAATAAGAAATTGGAATGCTAATAAATAGATTAATAAATGAATCTTAAATTTTCACAACTTATAGTTATGGTTACTTCCTGAAAAGTAACCATCCTAGGTGGAAAGACTGAAAGAGATTGTGGATGTGTTGAACAAAAGACCAAATAACTACCTTGCAAAAGATGGTAATACAGGGAGTGCTGATACAAAAAAAGATCAAAACTGTACAAGATTTCAAGAGACCACAGAGTTTAATGTCTTAATTACCTCAACTAAATGATCTTTAAACTCATTGAAGTCAGATTTTACCAGGCCAAAGATCACAAAATTTGGTTTTCATATCTCCCTTCCCTGCAAACAGTTTTCTATCGTGTCGATACAGATTCCGATAGGTTTCCCCAATGCCATTGCCTCTGCAAGTCTCGATCTTGTTTCACAATGCCTGGACAGCACGAACACTGTATTCGTTGCAGCCCATTTCAAATGAAGATCGGCATTGGCCTTCGAAAGACCAAGCCATCTAAGAACACTCTCCAGCTGATGCAAATGGCTTAAGAAACTGGTAGTGGAAAATGCAAAAGGAGAGTTAAGAGGAACGTACAGCTGGCCTGGTGTGCTTACCTTGAGTATATCTGCTAGATGTCCATCAGAGTTTCCAGCAACTAGAAGCTCAGCCACTAAACCTCCTAATGTTACACATGAAAACTGCTTCAATGTCTGAAACGGCAAGGAAAGACAATGATTCCCAACTCATAAGTCATCCGAAGAATTTGTGAGGACTTGTTTGGTAATATTCTCGCTTTTTTGTTTCTAATTTTCTTTTTAGAAACGTAAGTGTTTTGTAACTGTCTTGTTTTTTATTTCTCATCTTTATGAAACTTTTCCAAGATTATGCGGAATAACAAAATCAAGTTTTTCGTTTTCAGTTTTTTCCCCCAAAACACAGATAAGGTATTATTTTATCGTTGCTGTAACATATTTGAAAAATTAATTTTCATATAAAGCTTTTACTTTTTTAATTCAAAATTTGAGAACAAGAAACAAAAAATTGTTATCAAACATGTTTCCATTCTTTTTCAGCGAAAAAAAAACAATAAGAAACAAGAAACAGTTACCAAACACAATCTTGTTTTTCTTGATTGAGAAAAAAGAAACAAGAAAACAAGAAACAAGAAATGAAAAACATGAATATTATCAAACAGCCCTACTGCATAAATGCATTTGAGGGATTTGAATCCAAGAAAACTGATATTAGGATTTCTTTGGTCATAGATACTAGACTATGGATGTATTTATGTATAGAATTAAGAGATTATAATGAAAACTAGGTCTATATAATAAAGAACTGTGACTAGATCAACATGTAGTAATGGCTATGGTTATTATGGACCTATTCACAAGCACATGATTTTCCAAGGAAGAACAACTTTGATTAGCTAAAAATAGCCATGACAACAAAAAATCAACTTCCAAAGTTCAAACAGCAAGGTTTTCATGTCCTTATTTCTCAAAATATTGATTAGTTTCAAATACCTATACTAATGGGAGAAAACTAAGAAGTGAACCTCTCACCTTTAAAGAAATTCTGCCATTATTTGCTGCCTGCAGGATATACAACAGTAAAAAGCTTCAGAACAGGGTCTTAAAATAGCCATTCAAGAAAACTTGAAAGTTCAAAAACCATTGACACTTTTTAACATTCAGAGATTTATTAGACATGATAGAATTTGTAATTTAACCTAATATTAATTGAGAATGCAAGATAAATAAAACATGAGAGAGAGATAGATCAACTTCAGCATATTACCAGGACAACCATTTATTTCGGTACTGACCATTCAATCATATAGCAAACTTGGAATTACATGTGAAGAAATCTCACCCTGTTACGAAATTTTCTCATATCAGCATTTTCACTCAAAATCTTAAATGAATCAATCTGCATGAAGAGATAACACCATATGAATTTCTATAGTTCATCAGAATGAGCATTAGTTTTGCTTCAACATTAATATAAATCATGTTTTGCTCCTTCTAACTTCCACACTTATTTTGTTTTAGTCCGTGCACTTTTAAAAGTCTTATCTTTTCAAAACACCTGCACCTAAAAAAATAAATTAATGACAAGGATTAAAAAATATAGAGACTAAAACATAATACTTGAAACTTAATACTAAACAAAGAGACTAAAATAGAATGTAAACCAATGTGTTTAGTTACCTGTATTTGAAGATAAAGAAAACACATTCAAAAGAAGTCTTATAGTTCCAATCTGGCTGAAAACAGCTAAAACAAGGCACAGTGAAGGGATCATGGATCTTACTTCTCCAAGAAATTCAAAACCCACAAATGAAACTTTTCCTTCAGCAAATCTGTTTTGGCTCAGAGTTTGAATGCTTGGCACTTCATATTCTCTTGGGAGAACGCCCAGCAAGTAGCCAACAAGAAAATGCCCAGCTTCATGCTGTACGGAGCCCAAACTTGCATTCATCAATGAAAACTCAATGACATTGAAAGAATCCAGCAAAGTTAGCTCACTTTACTTCTGCACAAATGAGGTGTTCTTCTTCATAACGAGAAGAATGTCCACTTCCAGCAATCAAACTCTCTAGCTTTTCAGCAGAGATCTGTAAGAGCCAAAGTCTTCAGAGCCAAAAACTTCTAAGCAAGAAACAGCGGTGAATGGTGAATGTACCTCATCAAGTAAAGAAATCTGAGTACATTGTTGAATTGAATCCAGAATCGAATCCACCAACGGCTGGAGGGACAATAAGTTGTTTCCATTGAGCTCGAATTCGTGCACTGATGAAAGCCCTTTGGTAATCTACACCATTTTCCATAAGTTTTCACAAAAATGTTGGCATTCATCAATGGATAATGCTTACAATTAAGAAAGAGAGAGAGAGGACCTGTTTAGCGGCACCGAAAGCACGAAGGCCACCGGGTTTCCCCTGCAACTGCTTAACCAACGAGAGAGCGGTTTTGTATTGACGCTTTGAGAGCGCTCGATCCACAAGCTTCAGAGCACGACGTCGTTTCGCTGCACCATCGCCATCTTCTCCAAGTTCCGCCGGAATCCTCCGATGAAACTCGATGTTGCTTGTGAAATTGTAATCAGCCGCGGTGAAGAACATACCTCTCTCCCACTTTCTGTTTGGTTCCCGAGAAAAAGAAATTAATCGTCATTTTCGGAGCACAAACGACGTCGTTTTCTGATGCAGTTTCTGAGATTTTCAATTATTCATAAAATTATCCGTTCCTGTGAGGTCGAAAACGATTGAAATTTGACAAATCAATAACAAAACTAAAATCTCTTGAGGTTTCTTACGATAATTTCTCCTCCTGAGATTGCTTGCTACGAATCAGAAAAAGTTCAATGCAGTATGCAGGCTTATGTTGCCGTCCGGCAGCGCCGTGTTTTGGAGCGATCGGAATCTCGAACTGTTCATCGGAGGTCGGGCTCCGGCGCCGGCAAGTACTGGAACAACTGGACGGAGAGTTGGCCAAAGGCGACGACCGAGCCGCTCTCTCCCTCCTCAAGGAATCTCGGGGCAAGCCCGGCGGCCTTCGCTGCTTCGGCGCTGCTCGGCAGGTCAGTAATCGCAACATCTTCATTGAAATCCTGTAGTTGCTTCCGAAATTTCGCACTGATTTCTGATAGAATTGTTAGCAACTTCAACCTTGATCATCAGACCGCCTTTAAACTGTTTGTTAAAATGATTCAACGAAATTGACAAGAGATTATACTTTGAAAGTTGGGATTAAGCAACACAGTATTGGTTATTTCAACAATTTAGCCTAAAATTAAATCCCTAAACTACTTGAACTATGATTCATACTTTTTATAACCGTTGGACTCGAAAAAAAGAGTTAAAAGTGATAATTTAAAACTCGGTTACATTATAATTATAAACTAAAGAAATTGATTGGGACGAGGACTAAATCATTACAAATTTTAAACTAAAATAATCGAATCTTAGTATCCTAAGAGTTCTAAGGCTAATTTTTTACATTAATGAAAAATCTTTCATGGTTTTTTGTTGGTTGAAATGATCATGATTTTTGAAGGAGAGAAGTTGTTGTTTTGCAGATTCCACAAAGACTTTACACATTGGATGAGCTGAAGCTGAATGGAATTGAAACCTCATCCCTTTTGTCACCATTGGATACAACCCTTGGTTCCATAGAAAGAAATCTTCAACTTGCTGCTGCTTTGCTTGGTGTTTCTGCATGGAATGTGTTTGATTTTAGTCCCCAACAGATATTTTACTTTTCGGTCGGATTCCTATTTCTTTGGACCCTCGATTCGGTAAGTACGTCATCAATACTACTGTATGTTTTTGTTAAATCTCGATCATGATTTTCCTGTTCCAGAGAGAAAAAAGTCCTTCCTTTTTTTGCTGGTTATAGGCGAATGAGAACTTTTACAGGGACTTTGCAATTACATGGTGCTTCGTAGATATGTATTCTAATCTCCCGAGCTACAAGTTCAACTTTATCTCTTTGATATATTCATCATACCTGCACTTATAGATTCTCGAGTATGAAGCATGATTTTTCCACTCTTAGAGGGGAAAATTCTAATTTTTTTTTTTGGCCAGTTGTTTGCGAGGAGGGATTTAATAACTCCTACACCGTGGTTTGTAGTCATGTATTCAAAATAAGGATTGGTTTGGAATTCTTTGTCGTTTCATTTTTTCTTTTCTAAGAACTTCTAAAACTTTCGTGTTCAAAACGCCTTCAACTTTAATTGTTTGACACACTTTACATTTGAACGATGAATCGAGCTTGTCAAAATCATGGAGTTCTATGATATTTCTAGGTGGCACTCAATGGAGGAGTTGGAAGTTTGGTTCTTGATAAAATTGGTCACACTTTTAGTCAAAAGTACCACAACAGAGTTATTCAAGTAAGACCTCTCCCTCTCCCTTGCCTATGAGACAGTCTCATACAAAGTTCTTTCTTCTGCATTTGAAGCTAAGAGAACAATTTTGATACAGCATGAAGCTGGCCATTTTTTGATCGCCTACTTGCTCGGTATTCTTCCGAAGGGCTATACGTTGTCGAGTTTGGAAGCGTTTCGGAAGGAAGGATCTCTAAATTTTCAAGCAGGCACTGTTTTTGTTGATCTTGAATTCCTCGAAGAAGTAAATCCGATAATTCTAGCAAAAGCTAACTACATATTCTTCATATTATCGCACTAACCATCCTTTGATCCCATAGGTTAATGCGGGAAAGGTTTCTGCAACGGTATACTTTCTAACTCCTAGTACCCTATGCATGCCTTGCTCCCCCACACCAAGTTTAAATCCTAGTTTAGTTCCTAAAAAATGCTTATTTCGTTTTGGCCCTGAATTTTCAAATTTTTAGTTTTAGTTCTTCAACTTTGAAGGTTCTATTTTAGCCCCTAAATTTTGTCCAAAAAACTATTGTAATATCGTCCTTCTTTATCGACATAGATATATATAACTCGTCAATGTGTCTTTGTCAAGTTTCTGTTAAAAGAAATTACTAAAAACTAACTGTTTATTTTGATGGGAGTAGAATGTTTAAAAGTTTAGGACCGAAATAGAATAACCCGAAATATTTGGTTTTGAAAAGAGAGAGGTTATGAACGTAGGGATTGATTGTTTTGTTTTGTTTATCAGATGTTGAACAGATTCTCATGCATAGCTCTTGCTGGTGTGGCCACTGAGTACCTTCTATATGGATGTGCAGAGGGAGGCCTTGCTGATATTAACAAGGTTTGTTTTATAGGAAAGAAAAACTAGAATGTCTTTCATAATTGTTCTTTTTTTCTTTTTTAATTCCTTAATTCTAGTTTTTAAAACTTGATTTTTTTTTTCTTGAAACTTGGACGAGACTTCAATTTTTTTTTATAAAAAAAAGAGGTGAAAAATATACCAAATAAATAAGGCAAACATCATTTTTAAAAATAGAAAACTAAATTTGAATCACGCCTAATTTTGTTCTCCTGAATTTGCGTACAACTTTTTAAATGTTTCTTTAGAATCAGAAACTGAAAATAGGGCCAACTAGAACATTGTTCGGTAGATAAAATATTTATTATCATCCTAAAGATCAATCATTTGATTCCACACCCTACAACAAAAAGCTAAAACAATAGAATAATTATTACCATATCTGAAGAGTGACTATGCTTTGCCACTGCTTGCAGCTGGATTTGTTGCTTAAAGGTTTGGGGTTCACACAGAAGAAGGCAGATTCTCAGGTAAGATGGGCTGTTCTGAACACAGTTCTGATATTGCGCCGCTATGAAAGTGCAAGAGCTAAGCTTGCAGATGCCATGTCTTCTGCAAAATCTGTAGGGTCTTGTATTGACATAATAGAGAATAATGTTGATTCTTCTGACCTCTAAATACGACCACACAGCATGAGATTATCGAACGAGAAAAAAGATCTAATGGGATTAGTTTGAAAGAATTGGAAGAGGAATCGTATGAGGTGAAAATCTTACCTAACAGTTTTGTTTTGTCAAGTTGCAAGGGTGATCTAATTTGTATATGATCAATTATTTAGGGCCGTTTGATAACCATTTATGTTTTTGATTTTTTGTTTTCTGCTTTTAAAAAATAAAAACCATAAGTTTGATAAGTATTTTTTGTTTTTAAAAACTAAGGATAGAGACACCAGAGAGATATACACGAGAAAAGAGAGAAGAAATAAATTCTCAAATTGATTGATCAAAGATGAGGAATAGAGGCACTATTTATAGGTTACAAGAGGAAACAAAATCTAGGAATAACCTCCTAACTTCCCTAACAAAAAAGGAGATTTATTTGCTAAATTTAAACACAAAATCTAAACAACTTTAAAACAACTTCTAACTAAGTCCACATAATCTTAACTTCTAACTAATTCAATAGTTTTCTATTTTTAAAAAATAGAAAATCAAAGCATGTTTGGTTTTATGTTTTTAAAAAGTTAGAAAATTGAAAATACATATTAGAGAGAGGGAATTTTATGTAGTATGGGTGCGAGTGAGGATGCTCTCCCCAATTCTCGTGCTCGGGAAAATTTTTAATCCTCGTCTCCACCTCGTTCTTTCATCCGAGAGATGTCCTCGAGAAAAATTATTGGTTTTATAATTGTTTTAAATTATTTTAATTAGAATTAAAAAAAAAACTGTAATAAATATATATTAATTACTTAAAAAATAGAATCGGGGATGAAGTCAGATGCATTTCCTATTTTTGGGACCCGACCTTATGGAAAATTTTGTCATCCCTAATGTAGAGACATGAAAATACAAGCTTGTTGGACATTTGGTCATCTCGTTTGTTGAAGTCAGGTCTGAGGAATTTGACCCGTTTTCTTTCTTCTCTTCCTTCTTCCCCTTCGACTTTGACAGAAAGTTATGCTTGAAGTACTTGTTGTCTTTGGACTTCATGATGTCCACAGCCTCAATGAACTTGGTTGCTCGATCAAGGTAACCCTTCAAAGTCGATTATGGTTTCTTCGCCAATGACCAACTCAACTTTTCATGAGTTACATCGTTGTAGAAGGCAGAATGAGCTAGCAAGTTGGTACAATTTTCTACCTTAATCTACTCAGCTAGAAACTGTTTAACTGATTCCAAGTTGAGATTGAGTAGGGGCGAGCATACGAAACCATTTTCCTTATGGTCATTGCAGAGTGGTGGAGAAAGCTCGGCAATATCACGTCCGAGTAAGCATGAAAGTCCATGATGGTAGCCGACTCTTGTGGGAGATCGGTGCGTCCATGACAGTTTGGACGAATGATGACTCCTCTAGTTCATCATTGTCTAAAGTCAGCTTGCTGAGCTTGCTCACCTTCTTAAGGGAATCATGCTTGAGCTGGTCAAACTGCATCTGTAGGCTGATGTTGCCCACAGACTCATCAGGGTGATTTTTGTTGAGCTCCGACCGTTTCGAAACTTGATACTTGTTTCGTTCATCTCTCACCTTTAAAGGTTGATGAGAGAGTTCAAACTAGAGATCATCATCTAGTCTAGGTCGGTCATTGCCACCTAGTACTAGCTTCCGTATCGGCTGTCGAACTTGTCATATCCTTGGATTCTCATTTGCCTTTTGCTTCTCTTTTTTGGGGTCTCGTTGGATCTCAAGTTCAGCAGCCCTTGCGTCATAGCATCCATCCGTGCTTGCATCATCGTGAGTTGTGATTGTAGCTTAGATGATGGCACTTCCACCGGTACAAATTTAGTCTTATGAGCATCAGCTCAGGTTATGAGCTTTTTCGACCGTGGAGGTTGGTTGACCTCTTTCTCAGTTCTACCGTTATTTGGTAGGTTCGGATATCCGTCTTCATGGTTGCTTGCAGTTTGTGAACCATCAGGATCGGCCATTACAGAGTACAAAAAACTCTGTTTCCGTCGATTCCCACAAACGGCGTCAAATTTTGATGCAGGATTCCACTGACCTCCATAGGTCGGTCATGAACTAATCCGGAGCGAATTGTCGAGGTGCGACCTCTTGAGACGGTGGGACCTGCACAAGGAACACACACTCTTACATCTAAATTAGAGTGAGCTCAAGTTGTAGTAGATCGTTCTCGGACAGAATTGCATACTTGAGATGTGGGGTGGAGTTTCTCTTTTATAGGCAGACGGGGGAGACAAGACTGTTTAAGTCGTTCCGACCGGTGGTTACGGTTTTCGGGTCCCAGGTCGATGTTGGACTCAAGGTCGGATTCCTCAGCTCGACGGGTAGTCAGGTCAGCAGGAACAGATGGTTTCATTTATCCCTTTTGATGACTCGAACCGAGCAGGAGCATACACGTGTCAAAACTTATTTTCACCACCAACGACCCACATTTTTTTAGTCTAAACCAGTTAAGCTCGGCTCAAAATTGCACACTCTTTCCTTTACACATTAGGATGGAGTGCACCAACATTTAAAAAAAATTGATATAATCATCCATGGTAAAAATTAGGGCAACAAAATAAACAATGAACAATAAAATGAGAAAAGTTGAATTAAATATGAAATTTGAAAATTAGACATAATTTTCATAGGCTATCCTTCTGATAGTAGAGAACTTGAGTGACTGAGGAATTTTAGTAATTGAGGAATGTACGTAGGAAATATTGTTTTTAATGAGTCTATTTGTAGTGATGAATTAGAGAGAAATTTTAGAGTTTATTTTTCTTTTTTTATTTTTATTTTTTGGAAACAACAATGACACAATAAAACTAAGAAGCAATAGCTGGAGATACGCTGAACTCCTCCAAACCAACCGCTTGCAACAGAGGTGGAATCTCTTCAATCCACACTCCAGAAAGCTCCAAATCGATAGTCAACCTATCTAACTCATACGTCGCCTTATTGCACGATTGCGAACAGTGGGAGAAGCTGACAAAATGAATGTACTAGGTAATTTCAAGAATCTCTTTCATAATCATACTCAAATCCGATTCATCTGATTTTCTCAAACTTCTGGTTTGCAACTAGGAGGGAATCTGTTTCAATCTCCAATTTGAAGAAACCAAGCTCAATCGCTTCAAATAAACTCTCACAGATGACAATTGCTTTGGCTACCACTAGATCGAACATAGCCTGAACCAATTTCGCTGTGGTGCTCATAACTTCTCCTTAAAGTTTTGAATAATAGCCCCAATACCCATACGATTTTCGGTAGCTCTTATAGCAATGTCGGTGTTTAGCTTCAGGTTGTCATCAACAGGGGGGTCCAAATTTGAAGAATAGCAGCTCGATTCCCAGGTATGTGTACCTCATTTATCTTTCCATTCTTCGACAATACTGATTTATATTGTGCTACGTAGGAATTAACCCAATCCTATAAGTCATATTGCATCCCAAAGAGAGTACTCGAATCTCCAATCACAGTCTTATTTCGTTGATCAAACAGCCCAACACATTACAAGAGAAATTCAAACAACTCTATTTCGTTGATCAAACAGCCCAACACATTACAAGAGAAATTCAAACAACTCTTTAGGTAGAGAGCCACAGAATCGCAAAAAAAAAAAAAAAAAAGATCAGCCACCAAAGTCATAGATAGTGGGTAACTCATGTAAAGGAAGGGCATAGCCTCCCATAGAGTTCTAATCTTTTCACAAATCCAGATTGCGTGAATGGGGCTTTCAATTACTCGACCACACCGAAGACATATGGAATCCACATTCGTGCCCCTATGCCAAGACAAACTCCCGTGGGAAGGAAATCTTTATTAGCTTTCCACCCAAAAACTTTTATTTTGCTCAAAATGTTCGCTATCCACAACTCCGTCCACCACCTCAGCATCTCCTGGTTGTTTGACTGACCTCTAGTGATGAGATCCTCACTAGCAAACAAGTAACACATTTTCACAGGGAAATTTCCATCCTCACTATAGTTCCAAATTGACGAGTCCTCCATTCTTCTTTTCAGCAGCAGGATATTCAGGATAGGCTGCATATCTTCCACGTTTGAAATTTCTTGCCTATTCCATTCACCATTGGGAAGGATGAGAGAGGCAACTCTTCTGTTTGCAATCCCCCTAAATGGGAACCGTGTTGTAAAGGAAGATGGAGTAGGAATCCATTTATCAGCTAGAATATCCATTCTCTTCCATTACCAACTCGCCACCGAAGGCCTTTAAGGAGGATCTTTTTTCCCACACAAGACTCTTCCATATAAAAAAATATTGATTACGAGTAGAGGCTTTAGTGGAAAGGCTCTCAATGAAATACTTCCGTTTAGTGCCATTGCAGGGAGGGACTTCGGCCTAGAGAGAATTCTCCACCCTTACTTTGCAATAAGGGCTTGGTTGAAAAGCTTAAGGTTCTTAAAGCCCAAACCCCCCTTGAATTTCGACACACACAAAGACTTACATTTTGTCTAGTGAATCTTCCTCGTTTTCCCTCGTCACCCCACCAGAACTTGGCCATCAGGCAATTACAATAATTAATGAAGCTCTTGGAGAGACGGAAACAACCCATAACATAGGTTGGCATAGCTTGCACTACCGCCTTTATCATAATCTCCTTGCCTCCTACTGAGAATAAGTTTTCCTTCCAGTCTTGAAGGTATTTCCAAATTCGATCATTTAGGGAGGAGAACGAGGCATTTTTCTTCCTTGACAGGGGTGATGGAAGGCCTAAATACTTTTCATGACAATTAACTCTCGAGATTTTAAGTGTCTGGATCCTAAAATCTGCTTCCGTTCGTTTGGTATTTCGGCTAAAGCAAGCAACAGACTTCTGATTGAATGTATAAAATTTACACTTTTGTCGTGAAAGAACCCATTTAAGATGGTACCCATCACCCAATTTACTAGTATACCATTTTGTAACTACACCTCAATATTAATTAATTTTTAAAATTCAAAATTGGTTACTTGAAAGGTTACATTTTAAATCCCTTAAATTTTGCCTAATTAGACTTTCCAAAAGTAAAAAAATACCAAATCCCAAAAATACTAACTAAATCCCCCAAATCCTCCATTATTGAAAAAATTCGAAAACCTCATTCTTCCGACTTTTCTTCTTCCTTTGTTGTTTTGTTTCCGTCCGTTCCTTCGTC